AACTTTAGGCCAGAAGAGGCGGCAAAATTAAGAAGAAAATCGTTTAGCAATTGACAATTGGGGGGGGGGGGGGAGAGAATGAGAGATGAACCGTCTTTTGATTGAAATGGGGATGCCCAAGTAAGTGATAGTTATGCATAGATTTTGGGTTTGAAGAGTGTCACGAATCTCCTTAGAATTTGGAGAGTTTGCTTGCATGATAATGGAACTTTTATCCGGATTAACTTTAGGCCAGAAGAGGTGGCAAAATTAAGAAGAAAATCGTTTAGCAATTGACAATTTGCCATGGTAGCCTTGCCAAAAATAGGACTCATCCGCATAAAGAAGATGCGATATTTTAAATCCATTGATATCCACTAGTTGAAAAGAGCTTCCCTCCTCCATGTTGTCAAAAAAGCAAGATAAGGCATCCATAGCAAAGCAGAATAAGTAAGGACTGATGGGACACCCATAGAAGAGGGGATAAAGCCCTCTAAGCCCCCATCAATGCATATAGAAAAGTGCACGTTAGAAATACAAGCTTTAACCGATTGGATGAAAACATGTGGAATACCCTTTTGAGCCATTCTGAGCAACAAAAATTCCCTCGATAGCAAATCAAAAGCCTTTTTGATATCCAATTTGGCACAAAAATAAGGGACTTTGGTGCATTTCTTAAAGAAACCCTAAATTTCAGAAGCCAAAATGACATTATCCGTGGATATCTGATTGCAAATGAAACCAGCCTGATCCTTGTTAATAATAAGAGGCATAATGCATTTAAGCCTAGTAGCCAAAATTTTGGATATAATTTTGTACAAAGTATTGCAGAGGGAAATTGGCCTGAAGTTCGAAATAGAGTTGACATGAGAGGTTTTAGGAATCAAGAAGATAACAGTAGATTTGATCCCCTTCGGGAGATATCCTTTAACAAAAAAGGACTTAACAACTTTGCAAAGGGAAGGGCCAAGGATGTGCCAGCTAGACTTGTAGAAGTGGAAATTAAAACCATCATGTCCAGGAGAGGAAGAGGAAGCCCCGGAGAAAACCGCATTCTTGATCTCAGTATAGGAGATAGGATCAATGAGAGTTGAATACATAGAGGAAGTTCTACCAGAAGGGAAGCAGGAAATCTCAGGAATCTGAAGATCTTGGGGGTTGTAAAGCTTCTGAAAGTGGCCAATAACAGTTTGCTTAGCATTGTCAATATTCGTGGAGTTACCATATAAAGTAGTAGAAATGGCAGCACTGTTAAAGTTTTTCCTCATCCGAATTTTCGAGTATAAAAATTTCAGATCATCTTCTCCATCTTCAAGCCATTTTGCTTTAGCCCTTTGCGATAACCAGGAAGTCCAAGAGGAGATCAAATCAGCAAATTCCCCATTGATGGACTTTAAAGAAGAATTGAGAGGAAGACTAGTGGGGTCAAAGTCCAATAAAGTGAGGAGAGACTTTTGCTTATCCTGTAGGTTATGAAGAGATAGTTGGATAGTATTAGCAGAGGGCCAATCTTTATTCTTGATGGATAATTTAAGTTTTCTAAGCTTGTTAGAATAATCCATTAGAGGATTCCCAACCATAGGCTCGAGGAAAATGTAAAGCATGATATTCCAAAAATCATCCTTAGAAGTCCAAAAGTTTTTGAACTAAAACTGACTAATAGTAAGGTGATTGCTGCCTTCCTTGAGAGCAATAGGACTGTGGTCTGAACACATAGGTTTATCAACCAAATAATGAGAAAGAGGATATTGGGCAATCTAGGCCTCAATAACTAGAACCCTATCTAGTTTGAGATGTATAGGACTTTCAGTTTGTTGGTTGAACCAAGTATAAAAAAGACCAGTGGAATAGAGATCAGAGAGGTGATTACTAAACATAAAGGAATTAAATTCACCCAGGCGGCTAAAATGGAGGGGGAAACCCCCAGCCTTCTCATTTTGAAATCTGCAACAATTAAAATTGCCCATCAGGATCCAGGGCAAACTGGGGGAAGGAATATTGTTACAAAGTTGCTGCCAAAGAATAGTTCTGTCCTCCGCAAAATTAGATCCATATACAGCACTCATGTAAAAAGACATATAAGGTCCATAAGTGACCCAACCAGAAATCATTTGAGGAGAGAATAAATTGGGAAGAAAATTAATTATGTTCCCAACCCATTTAATCCAAATTCTACCATATGTCGAAAGATCAAAGTTGCTACAACTAACTTTGGACTAAAAAAATAGTATGAGTAGCACAGAACCAGGGATTAGCTATAGAATTCCTATGAATTTTATTTTCTGAGATGCAAACCAAGTCTAACTTATGGGTTTTAACGAGCTGTTTGCAAACCATGACTTTGCTGGGGTTGTTGAATCCCCTAATGTTCCAAGAGGCTATGTGCATAAGGGTCATTGAGATTTAATGGTAGATGGTTGAGGCTTCTTATGCTTGCCTCGGGTGTTTTTATTGTGAGATGAGGGTGGAGGCTGGGTGTGTTGATCATCTTGAAAATTAGGCAGCTTGGATGCCTCTTTTTGTTTTCCTAACTGAGTTTCCATAGTGGGTTCGTTGTTGGCAGAGCTAGCATCAGTTTGGATGTCCAAAAGGACATCAAACTTATTAGGAGAGGAAATGGTAGTTGCCTACTTTTGTGGAATGTAGGGAATGATGGTAGTGAGAATGGTTTCATCTGTAGGGGAGTTTAGATTAGGAATGAGGTCAATTTTTGGAGACCGCGTTTTGGAGGTAGAGGTTTGTTCTGTAACAGGTTGTGGAAGGGATGATTTTGACAGAGAGGTAGAAGAAGGGATGTGAGAGGAAGGTTTAGGAGGTTGTTGTGTTGAGGCAACAATAGCCTTAGAATTAGCAGTCTGGCTGGGGATCCTGACTTGAGCCGAAGAGTTGTTACTCTTCTCTCGAGTTCTATTAGAGCTAGGTGCTCGAGAAGAGCTCCTACCTCTGAAGTTGTTAGTTTTTTTTGTATTTTATCTAGAAAGAGTAATTGGTTTGGTGGGGCAAGTCTCCGAAGAGTGAAACAAGGAACCGTAGCTATCACATGGAGAAGGCCTCCTTTCATACTGAATTTTCACGTGCATAATTTCATCCTCTATGGAAATGGGTATAAAGTCAGGATATTTGGTTTTGTTATTGACTTGAATACAGACTCAGGCATAGGTAAGCCTAGATTTTTGGGCAGTGAGGGCATCCACCGCCAGGGGGATGCCGATTTTGCTAGCGATACAAGAAATCCCCTCTGAGTTCCTGACCCAAATCGGAACTGAAGAAAAATTTTCTCGTTTGGGCTTAAATCTGGGATGCCATTTCTAAAGGATGAACGGGCGGCCTAAGATGAACAAAACTCCACTATGCCAAGTCATTTCATAGTCCACAGGAGAGGAAAACTTAATAAGAAAAAAATTCATCAGTCAAGTTAAAGAGCTGGATAGTACCTTGGAGTTTCCAAGTTTTTCGAAGGGTAGAAAGGGGAGCTTCGTAATACGGTCTCTTACCGACAGAGAAGCCAACCAATTAGAGATTCCACTCTTCGACAACGGCGTTAGTTTTAACGCGTTGGAAGACAAGAGCCTCAGTTTCTTCATGAAAGTTGACTGGAAGATCTTTGGATGACAAACATTCAGGTGTGACAACATTTGTCCAACTGCGATGCACAAAGGGAAGGGCCAGAGGAGTCTCTAGCAGATTAGAGAGAGGGGGAAAGTCATCTTCGTGGAGAGGGGACCCCATGAAGAAGGGAGCACCTCACTGGAGGGAAGAGGTGGCGATGACAGCAAAATAAGGCGATTAGGACACGAAGCAAAACCCTAGCAGATAGTTCGATCAACAAGATAAAGCTTATTAATAGATTCGCCACTCTAGCATGGATGGTTGAAGGAATAAAATAAAATTTTAATGAAAAGAGATGGAATGATTTATAACTACACAATTAAATAATAAATATGGTCAACTTAAAAAAGGATTTTCACCCATTTTTTCAAAGATGCAGCCAGCTGTTACATTCGATATTAGAGGCATTCAAGAAGTGATATTCTTCACTTTTTTTTTTTTTTTTTTTTTCTTTAAGTGATATTCTTCACTTCATGTTATACTGCATGATATGCACATATAAACATATAACGTCATATTGCTATCCATGTTATCATGAACTGTAATTTAGTCTTTGTGATGTTAACCATTCTTACAGAATAATTCAAGCGTGTGCAAATTCTTAATAAAGTGTGAGCATTTATAATTCGCATTTCAATGATTGTATTGTGTTGTAATATTTTATTTCTATTAAAATACAGCGTTTTATCTTTATTAAATGAGTTCTGAAATAAATCTCTTAGTGTTGATAATAATCTGCTTTTAATTACTTAAACATACAAGTGATATTCCATTGTTTTTGTGGAGAACTGTGTCGGTAATTTAGGCTTCATTTGGAACAATTTTTTTTGTTACTTTTTAAAGAATTTTTTTAATACAAAAATTAAAATTTTTGTATCAAAAAATTACTTCATCCAAATGAAGCCTTAATAACTAAAGTCGCTAGAGAAAGGTCTAGGTAATAATATGACATAGGAGTTGGGAGAGCGGAGCCATCTAGTCAAACTTCAGAGGAGGCAACGGATTTCATTTTGTAATACAACATGGCCAATAAAGAAACATACAATTCCCTTGAATGTAAATGTTACTAACAGAGAAAGGGCATTGTTAAATCAGAGGACGATAGTTTTTTGTCAACTTGAGTTTCATTTATCACATTATCGTATTTAAGTTCTATTAGATAAAGTAGATTTTATTAGGTAAGTTCTAACTTGTTCGTCAAGTGCTGTAATATGAATAAGATCATCAGGATCATTTGACCACATGCAGTATAACATGAACCAAGTCATAGCTTAAATGAGGATATTCAAAAAATCTACTCAAAAATATTTCCTACATGGAAATGAGAGCAGTCATCTTCACAATGTTCCAGGAAACTGTAAGAGCTGAAAGTATAGATGTTCCAAGCATCTACCTTTAAGAGTAAACTTGAATTAATCTCCTAAAACTGGTTAGCTTTATTGAGTAAAGAGAAAGTTCAACATCAACAAGCAATGTACAGTTCTTCATTCCTAGGAAGCAATAAATCAAACAAGGGATCTTTAGGAACTCAATTAAAAACGTTTAAATAGGAAAGTCAATTGTCTATAAACTCTTTAAACTAAAAATGTATACAGTGGTCAATTAGAAGAATGCCTATCCCTTGACAATCTTTTATCAAATAATAAGCCACGAGGAAAAATAAGCGAAACCCTAAACGGCCACAATAGGTGACAGCTGCACAAGGAATAAGAAACAAACGGTCCGAATTAACTCACCCCCTCTGATGGATTACGTCAAACCAAATAAGAAGCAACTGTTGAATATGGTCACCGAAATAATACTGAATATCATAATAATGATGGAACCAACATAAGCAGGGCACACAGACTGTAATGTTATTCGAGTTAATCTTCATGCTCGTCCTCTCCCTCAGAATCTGTGAAGTAAAATGAAATCAGGAGAAGAGAATATTTTTACGGTGTCCAGGAAAAGAACACGTCTCAATCATTTCAACTTCAAAGTTTAAATGATGAAGTTTATCTTATTGTAACTGCTGATTAGCAAAGAAAAACACAGATTAACCAAACTTACCAGATCGTACATCATCACTGATCTGACCTTTTGCCTGGATTTGTTTAATAATCATCCGGAATATAAGAACCCACCAATAGATATGAAGAACAAGTAATGATATTAAGAGAGAATTGAAAACATAATAATATATGGGTCCGTCCACCTTGTGTTTCTCCTTATCAAGTGTCAATACAACTTCATAGCTGCGATGAAAGCAATAGATTAAAAATCAACAATACATACTACATCATAAAAAATTCACTTCTAACATGACCAACCAAGCAGTTTGAAATAAAAAAAAAATTACATGATGGCATCTTTTCGTCTAATCAAATGACATTGAGATAACTTTATTGCTTGGCGACTGAGCTTGCGTTAATAGAAGTTGTTGCGTGCTAGAAAATTTAAGTCAATAGAGATTGAATTTCATGTCTTAGCATTGCGCAAAAATCCAGCACGAACAGAGAAAAATGAAAGGACCAGACAATTTTTTATGTAGAAAGTCTAGAAAGGGAAGAACGACGGGGCCTAGCCCTATTGTAGAATTAACTATGTAATAAGTGGTATAAAATTTCTCCTTTCTTCACTGTTGAAGAAGAGGAAAATATAAAGATCAACAACAATTGGATACAATCTTGGTAATATTCTACGAATGTTGATGATTTCTGATGTCAATCGTCAATGATGATGGTAGTTGCTGGTGGTAGTAACTAGTAGTCATCGACAACGACAATGGCTAAAAAATGTAAGAGAGATCTTTGATTTTTCTCGTCTCCTAACTTTTTTCTACTTCTTTCGGTAAAGAATGAGAGGTTTAATTATAGTTTTTTGGGAGTGGTATGGCTAGTAAATAGGGAGAAGATTAAGGACATGTTAGGAGTGTTTCAAAGGATGTCCGATATCAACTCTCTCAATCATGGACCATTTATCAAGCATTTGAGTGTCATAAAGATGTCAGAATTCAGTGATCTTAGGCTCATTGGATTCGTCTCGTCGAGCCGCTCAATTCGACTAAAAACTTGTCACATTTGCATATCATTTAATATGCTTTGTACATCTAAATGTGCTTCGATCCTTCGATTTGAGCCCATTTGGGCTAGGATTGGACCGATTTTGGTGTTATTGGGTTCGTCTCTTCGAGACATTCAATTTGACTATAAGTTTGCTGAAATCGGAGTTTGAAGGGTTCAGGATTTAATTTTGGAAATTTTTTATTAATATTTGCATCAAGATTCCTGCCTGATCAGAAGAACTTTTTGATGACATATCAGAAGTAATTGACTTGAAATAAGTACCTTAAGAAAATAAAAAAAATAAAAATAAATTAATAAAAAAAAATAAAATAAAATAAAATAAACAAAAAAAAAAATCTAACAAAAAATGGAGAAAAATTAACCAAGATAAACCACAAAAATAAAGAACAAAACACAATCATAAACACAAAAGAAATATACTATAATTTTAATTTGTAGAATTATTATTTTTAAGCATGAATATCAATAACACTTAATCAGATTCTTAAATTTTTGAATTTGTTAGGAAGCTCGATAAAGCTCGTTTGTTAAGTTAATGAACATCTAAAAGTAGAGCTCATTTATAGCTCGTTCATGCTTGTTTGTTTAAAGCTCGATAAGCACTAAATTAACCGAACATGAACTGAACATGAACCAAACATGAACACTCCTTAATTTAAATGAACCAAACATGAACACAAACGCTAAAGCTCGAACAAACATGAACCAAACTTGATCAAGCTGATATTAAATGAACACAAACATGAACACTCACATACTCGGCTCGGCTCGGTTCGTTTGCAGCTCTGTTCCCAGCAACTCAACAAATTCTGAACAACCATCACCCCATATTTCCTTAAACATTTTAGCTATGTACTGCATAGTTAAGTTTCATTATGATGAGGTAGCCTATGATAATTTTCACAAACTGTTCTTCAAACGGTTTACGGTTTTCCCTTGTCACACTTAACGCTCTTTTTCATCTCAAGAAATCAAAAACTGAGTGGAGGCAGTCATAAATCCAATCTCTAAATAAATGCCAAGCAAAAAGTAATGAGCAATCTAAAGTTTGTCATTCTTACTTGTTTCCACATTATGACAATGATATAAGGGAAAGAAGAGAGCACACTGAAGGTTTCAAAACTTTTAAATCATATGAAACATTAAATTATATTTCTCAGATACGGGGAACTTGCCTCCCAAAAATTAGAAGCTATTACATGATTTTATCCTTCTATTAAATTTTTAGGTATTTATAGAAAGTAACTAGGACTTAATAAAGGCTTTACTAATATAAGTAACAACAACAACAACAACAACTTCAAGCCTTTATCCCACTACGTAGGGTCGGCCACATGAATCTTTTTTTTTTTTCCATTGTGTCATGTTATGAGTTAAATTCTCATTTAAATTTAATAAAAAAGGACATTTCTAACATTTTCTAATCAAGTCTTTTAAGGTATACCTCTACTTCTCTTAACATAGGTCAAATCTAATAGATCTACTCTCCTAACTGGGTCATCAGAAAGTCGGCGTTTTATGTGACCAAACAATCTAAGGAGACTCTATCTAATCTTATCTGCCACTGGAGCTACTCCAACCTTTTCACGTATATGCTTGTTTCACATTTTTCTCTAAGAGTAAAGCCAATCATCCACCTGAGCATCCTCTTCTTTACAACACTTAATTTTATGTTTCTCTTTTAATGGCCAATATTATGCGCCATAAACATTGCAGGTTGATAGGAAATACTTAAGTTCACAAGTAACCCTAAAGGGACATACTTGAGTTTGCAAGCAAACCTATCAATAATTGGTGAAAACAGCGAGACATATGCTGATTTCAGAGAGAAATCAGCAAAACGATGTAGGAATTTCATAAGATTGGAGAGAAAACACAAAGAAAACTTCTTCTATTTAATACACGATCAAGAGAAACAATGTAAGATACAAGTTTCTTCAATTCGAGAGGAAGAAACAACAATCCAATTCTCTAGCAAAGCCTAGAGCCCAAAAGAACAAACCCTTGATCTAAAATCTCTCCTCAATTCAAGATAATCCACAAACCCTAACAAGAAAGACTAATTAAAGCAAAAGGAAAATTACATAATCCCTGAACAGCCCCTTATTCAATTTTTTCCTCCCCACCCCCACTCTCCTACCCTCTTTTTTTTCTTGGACCGGTAGGAGTATACCAGAACCGACCCAAGTTGGACCGGTTAAGGTCTAACATTACCCCCCTCCCGAAGACTCACCTTGTCCTCAAGGTGAAATGAAGGAAACTTGTGCTTCAACCTCTCATGCGGTTCCATGTGATGTCACGGTTCCCACGTGATGTCAAAATCAGGAAGCCCACTCTTGCAATCAATACATCCTTGTTTCCTTGTCATATCTCTTCCCTTCTTGCTCCAGAGGTTCTAAAACCACCTCCATCTCCTCGGTCAATGTTTCAGACAGTTATGCACTGATTGCATGATCCCTTATATCCTTCCTCAACTGTGACACATGGAATACTAGATGTATAGTGGCGGATGGATGTAAAAGTGGTATGCCCTGCTCCAATCTTATCCAATATCTCATAGGGGCAAAAATACATTTATGATAACTTCTCATTTCTCATGTTGGCCAATGTCTTCTGTTTGTAGGGCCACAGTTCTAGGAAAACCTTCTCACCTACTTCAAATTGGATGTCTATCCTATGTGCATCTGTCTGCCTCTTTAAGATATGTTGTGCCCTCATTAGATGTTTCTTTAACTCCTCCAACACCCTATCCCTTTCCTCCAAGTGCTGCTCCACTGAGAATACTAGTGTGCTCCCTTTTCCAAAGTGTACTAACTGTGAAGTGTCTCTTCCATATAGCACCTTAAAAGGGGTCATCTGAGAAGCTGAGTGGTACGAGGTATTATACCAATACTCAGTACATGCCATCCATTTGGCCCACATCTTTGGTGTTTCAGAAGCAAAACAACTCAAGTAAGTCTCTAAACTACTATTGACAACTGTTGTTTGGTCATCTCTCTGTAGGTGGTAAGTAGTGCTTCTCTTGAGAACTGTTCCCTGTAACCTGAATAGCTCTCTCCAAAATTGGCTGAGAAACACCTTGTCCCAATCAGAAACTATCGACTCTGTAATCCCATGCAGTATGACTACCTTCCTCATGAATGTTGCTGCCACTATCACTACGTTGTAGGGATGTCGTAATAAAATAAAATGTGCGTACTTGCTCAGTAATATCCACCACCACCATAATGATTGTGAATACCTCTGATCGTGGCAGTCCATCTATAAAATCCATGGACACTTCCTCCCATACACAGTTCGGAAGTTCCAAAGGTTGTAGCAACCTCCCTGGAGTCATAGCCATGTACTTGTTCCTCTAGTAGATTTCACACCTCACCACCATCTTCTCCACATCCTTATTCATCCCCTTCCAATATATCTCAACAACTAGTCTCTTATAGGTCTTGTATACCCCGGAATGGCCTCCAACTGCACAATCATGAAACTCCTGCAATAAGTGGGGAATATGGATGGAGGTTCTTGGCATCACAAACCTTCCTTGATGTAAGAGTCTCCCCCCTTCAAGTGAGTACCCCGAATGGCTATTCGTATCCTTAATCAAATCCTCTCTAATCTTTTTCAACTCCTCATCCTGCATGCTCTCCCCCTTGATAGCCCCCCAATCTACCATCAGTGGCACTGAAGTTTTCATCTCCTGGAGTTCCCCAACACATATTGATAAGGCATCTGCCACCTTATTTTCCAATCCCGGTCTGTAATGGATTTTAAAATCATAATCTAGCAATTTGGACAACCACCTCTGATGCTCTTCTGCCACCATCCTCTGATCCAATAAATATTTCAAGATTTTCTGATATGTCCGGACAATAAAATACTTACCCAAGAGGTAAGGGCGCCACTTTTGAACAGTCAAAATAATGGCCATCAACTCTCTCTCATACACCGACTTCAGTCATGTCCTAATCGACAGCACTTGACTAAAGTATGTTATAGGCCTGTGATTCTGCATCAACACTGCTCTCAACCCATATCCTGACGCATCGATCTTCACAACAAAGATCTAGCTAAAGTCCGGAATAGCTAAAAATGGAACTGTCGTTATGGCTTTCTTCAACCTCTCAAAATCACGAGTTGTTGCCTCTCCCCACAAAAAATGTTCATGAGCTCTC